GAGCCGAAGGAGCCGCAAGAGAAGCAGAGGAACATGCAGAAGCTGAACGTTTAGAACGCGAACATGAACAGGCTGAGAGAGAACGTAGTGAAAGGGAGCGCAAGAAGGCGGAAAGTGAGCAGCGTGCAAAAGCTGCTGCCGTGGCCGCAGAGGCTGATAGGAAACGTCGCGAGAAAGAGCGAGCAAGGCAACAGGAGGAAGCGCGTGAGGCAGAAAAACGCCGGAAGGAGCAGCGCGAATCCGCCAATCGTTCACCCGACGCAGGACGGACGTCGACAGATAGACGTGGGCCTCCGCGAGAGAGCACTCGTGTTTGGCATGACAGGTCCGGGCAGTTCAGAGTCGAAGCGGCCTTTCTTGGCTTTAATAACGGCAAGCTGCGTTTGCACAAGGTGAACGGTGTCGTTATCGAAGTCCCTTCGGAGAAGATGTCTGCGGAGGACATGAGATACATCGAGAAGCTCACTAAGAAGTCGTCACCACCGCGCAAGTCGGATGACGACGACGAGCCACTGGAGCTGCGTAGGAGATCATTGCAGCCGGAGAGCACACGCCCGACAGCGCCTCCCGCCAAGAAGAAGGCGACAACTGACTGGTTTGACTTCTTCCTCAACGCTGGCTGCGACGTCGATGATTGTACTCGTTATGCGTCTTCATTCGAACGGGACAAGATTGACGAGACGATCCTCCCTGATATCACAGAGTCAACTATGCGATCTCTGGGATTGCGTGAAGGTGATATCATTCGCGTCAAGAAGGCCATTGAGCAAAGACAGCCGAAGAAGCCTGCCAGCGACGGTGCTCTGCGGGATCAAATGCGTCGCGACGAGGAGCTCGCAAGGCAATTGCAAGCTGAGGAGAATGGTGGGAAACCAAGGAGCCAGCCTCCCAACTTGTTCTCGGCAGGTTCCAATGGCGCTTTGAAGAATGCCACTATGCGAAGAGGTCGGCCTCAACCAAGTAAGAGTATGCCGCCTTCAAATGTCGATCTGCAATCCATCACATCGGCGTCAGGGCAGATCCAGCGGACAGACTCGCCGACGGTGGCAAGCCCCGATGCCATTACACCTCCATCTTCTACTGCTGTGCAGCCACCATCAAGATCTAGTTCTGCTATCCCTGTGACTAGCGGATTCGACGACGACGCGTGGACGAATAGGCCCAGTTCGACGGCGCCGATCGCACCGACCCCTCCAATCGTTGCCCCTCGTGCACCCTCTGCGCCGCCAGCACCTCCG